TACAGTTATCACATATTATTTCAAAAACAATTCATGATTTCGTCTATGTGGACTCAATCTGTACTCTATATCTCGGTTAACGTGATGTTGAGAAAACGTCTGTAATGATGACAAGAAATTTATTTTCCAACAATTATAAAAGGGCTGTCTTGTTAATGAAATTTCGATAATATCATAAATACTAATAGTATTGTCTCAGAAATCATAAATGTATTGTGGTATATCAAAAAGTACATTAAAGCATTCATCAATAAAGTTAATTGGTGAAATTTGCTTTGATTTGGTGATTCTTTGTATTTATTGTGGTAATTTAATTTTGCCGGTAAACGAAAAGACACATTTTCGTCTCTTTTCAACGTCTCTCTTCAAAGACAGCTATTCGGCTCTATTAAAACCGCACTACCTCTTTAAATTCAATCCCTTCACCGTAACTGCCTACTTAGAACCATCATAACTTCCTCTTTCGTACCATTTTCAATCCTTTCTCCTCTTCCTCATTCCATTTTCTTATCTTTTCTCTTTTCACCGAAATAAACGATGGTTCCAAGGAGAAACAGAGGTGGTGATGCTGATTTTTCCTATCTTCTCTCACTCCCTGATGAATTGCTGGAACAAATTCTGGCCGCTACAAACCCAACTATAAGGGAAATAGCCCGCCTCCGTGCTGTTTGTTCTCGTTTCAACCGTATCGGCACAAGCAGGGGTTTCTATCGAGCCATTGATCCCGGCCGAAATCGTGCATGAACAAGCGGCGGTTCCACATTACCCAACGATGATGAGGAGATTCCATGACGCGGGTAATCCAGGGGTTATTTTCGAGAGGGGGATGCAAGCCTACTTTTTCTTCCACGATGGTGAAGGCGTGGAATTGATAAGGGCTGCTGCGGAGGGAGGCTACGACCGAGCCCTTTTTGTGTACGGGATGTGGCTCAGAGCTGTGCCGGAAGACTTCGTCCGTGTAGAGGAGTAGTTGGGCAGGCTCACGGTGCAAAACCGGAGGAGGATGAGCCGGTTGTTGCTGGCCGACGTTCCACACAGATGGAATTTCGATTTGCCAGTGGATTTCACTAAGAAAGCGGCTGCCTTTCATCCGAGATTCCTTGCGCTGTACACCTGTCACTGCGGGGTTATCAATTACTGGCTCCAGTGGTTTGCAGAAGACTTTAAGCAGCCAAAGTGCACAACCTGTTTCTGGGCCCAAGAGACCCAAAGGTTCTTCCGCTTCATTAGGAACATCGTTCCAAGCTGGCCGTTCATGCTCGATTGGTGAAAGCCGTAATCTTAGTATTTGCTTGCATTCGTGTCTCTTTAATTATTTATGTTGTCTAAGTGTTCCAAACTACAACTGATGTTTTTCAAATTGCTTGTCTGCTTTCGGTTTTTAGTTGCAACTCTTACTTTTGTATAAACATAATCTAAGGAGAATTAGTAGTTGATTTTATGATATTTATGGTACTTATGTTCGTAAATGTAGTAATTAATCATCAAGCTCTTAAAATGTTTTGTATCAACATGAAAGTGCCAGGATATCATTTCGTCTAGGGCAGTAATTAATTATGTACACCTCTTCCCTGTAACTATTTATGTACACTTATTACCGTATACCTATAGACGTACACCTACTTACGTATACCTAAAACCGTAAACCTAAAGACGTACACCTACTTACGTAAACGGGGTCAGATATAGATTGGAAACGTAAAACAGGTTGAAAATATAATAACATTACACATTTTTAAAGAACGATGAATACTGGAACGTAAACGTACACTAAAATTGGTATATGGGTTCGTAAACGTACACCAACATTGGTATACATGATTGTAAACCCTTTTTTGACATAAGGCTGTTAAACATAAGGCTGTTATAAAAACTTCATATTTATTTTACAAACAAGCGACAAGCGAGCATAGCACATCGATACTAAAGCATTTTTGCTATGCGTTCTGCCGAACATCTAAGATAACAATTTTCACATGTAACAATATAATGCACATTCTCGTGATACACTTCGCACGACGCAGAGTTGTCTTCATGAATGAGACTAGGGTACCTGAACTTTTCCTTGTATGTATGTTTATTACGTGGGCAAAATGACCAGAATAAATCTACTATCTCTGCTGCGACTTCAAGAATTTCACAAGAATCATGAGGATAGTGGTACATGAAAACCATCTTAAGAAGTTTTTTCCCTCTGTTAGGGCGACCCACGCACATTTGCAAAATCGCACAGCTGTAAGTCGCATAGACGTCTGATGGCACGAGCTTATTCAGCATCCTGATGGCGGTGTAGATCTTCTCCTCTGTTGACACGAACCTTATAGCTTCGACCAATATGGCCCGTGGATTTCTCGATGCTAAGCAGCGCAGGAATAAAGGCCGATATACTCCACCAGGGTATATCCGAGATGGTGTGTCATGCAATGTCCATAGGTATGCCGATCTGAGTACTTCCGCGCTATACGCAATGTCTCTACCACGGGTCCCGGCCAGAATAATCGTTCCAAGGTCGATGCAGTCAGACTCAGCAACTTTCTTCACAATGATTTCGAAAATATGATCTGGTAAATCTGGTAAATCTAGCATTTTTTGGGAAGGTTATAGGGTTTGTGTAAGGTTTGTGTAGGGTGAACTTTCTGCGCAATTTTATGAAACTATATATTGAATTCCATGGGTAGTTGTTGTTCAGAAATAGTTAACGGTAAGACAATTAGTGTGTAGTTGAACAGAAGTAATATTACAATAAGTTTGTGAAGTGATGTTTACCAACTACAGAAATTAAAGAAGTAGTTACATTGTTACAACTAGTTAAGTTGTTAGTAGCTACTTGTTACAACATCAATCGTCAAGTGATTTTCACTTAGTTTCCACCTTAAATTTATTACAAAATTAAACAAGCACTTGCAATTTAAATAATTAAACTAAAGTAAATATTTTATGCGCAGAGCCGTGCATTGTAGAAGGCAATACTCGCAGTCTGGTGTATTTGAGCCATCGTAATGGTCATCTACACACTCCGATATAGGTTCTTCTTGTAGGGTGATGGGGAAGGACCAAAGGCTACCCCACGGATCTTGAAACGGCCCCAGTGCGAACTCCCATACGTGACGTATAATGGCGTGCGCTAACAGCTTCATTTCATAAGCCGCATAAGGGACGTGGTGAGTGAATACATAGGTGAGGAGATTTTTAGCCCTTCGTGGACGACCGACGCAAATTTCAAACATGGCACATGCGAAAGTAGCATGTTTATCACATGGGACAAGTCGGTTAAGCATTGTAATCGCTGAATACAATCATAGCTCACTCACGGCAACTCTAATGGCTTCGAAATAAATAGCTCGTGGATTACAGGCGCCAAGACAACGCTCAAAGAATGGGCGGTAACGGCTCCTAGGGGATACGTCGAGCGGTGAGTCAACCAATCGAGAGATGTCTGCAGAGCGTAACACGTCGTCGGTGAACACGATGGCTCTTCCACGTTTTCCTGCGCGAATAAAGGGGCCAAGATGATAGGAATCATCCTCAGCTAGTTTCTTTACTATTAACCCTAAAACATCATCGTCTAAGTAGTGCATTGTTGTTTCACTTTGGTGAAAAATAAATTTGATTCGCTTTATTTGTAGACAAGGTGGATAGATATATAAATGTCCTAATTCGTGGTTGGTATACAGATAAGAGCCACTTCAATAACTGCTAAAGTGACCCCAACACGTCGCACTACATTATAAATGTAACTACTAGTTTCGGGCACTTTAATAAAAGAGAACTGACCATTATTCTAAAAAATTGGGGGTACAAAACGGGTAGGTAAATATTTACTAAAAGGGAGTACACTATTATATTATTTTCAACCGTATAATAAATTCTCCACCCCCCAACCACACACCAGTGAAGTCCATATATGATGATTTTGCTTTGTCTTACCAAAACTTGCCTCCTTTCCAGCGAAAACAAACCCTAAACCAAACATAACAAACCCTAAACCAAACATGTCGCTCCCAGACTTGCCTGATGAAATTCTTATCGAAATCCTCAAGAGGCTTGGCAGTGAAGCATTTTGGCGACTCGGACCATTTGTGCGCGCTGGAAAGCGCACCCTCCGGCTTGTTTTCACCGACGATGTCCTCAAAGCTTCCAACATTTATGCCCTTTGCTGTGTCCCCAACGACATATGCCCTGGAAATGAAAGACGCCCATTCTTTCTGAGATGTTTGGCGAGTGGAAACCCTGAGGCAAGATACTGGGAAGGCCTGAGACTTGCAAGATGAGGCGCAGATCTCATTGCAAGTAGGACCATGCTGGAACCAAATGTTCCCACCGACGCTCTCTCGACCCTGGCGTCCGCCATGTTCAGCGTTTGCTTGGGTGACCCTTGTTCCGCAAGCCAAACATTGCAACTGTTGGCAACACATCACGGAAGTCTACAGTCAGAGCGCGTGCGACAATTAGGTGAGGAGTTAATTCTTGAGATTTCATATTACGGAACTGCATACATGGATACGTACTCAAACTCATTTTCATATCCAAACGACGACGTCATCAAGCTGCCTGATTGTGCATTTCATCATTTCGAACCTGAGATCCGAGTACTTTGCAATGGTTGCTTCATATATTGGTGTGCTAGGCGTATCTGTGAAATGCTTTAAAAATAAGTTTATGCTGTACACCTTTGCAAGTGTACACGAGTATGTGTACACTATATGAAGTGTACACATATATTTCCTTTTTAGTATGTAATGAACAATCTTTGAATTAATATTCCATGATTTATGTTTCATGAAATCGTTGGACAATTTATGCTTTGACAATTTATCAAATCCAAAACATAAAAACCACAAAATGATATTAAAAAGTTAATATGAAGTCATAAACTTCCCAACCAACTACACGCTAACAAAATAGAGGTCTTATTTTTTTTCCTAAACAAAATACACAATTCAACAAACATAATTAAAAGTACAATTAAGGAGTTTATGCTCCTCCGGCGTGCTCCACCGTCCACGCAAGTGCAGTGGTTTCAAAAGCAGCCCTGTCTTCCACGTAAATCCTAGCAATTTCTTCAACAAAAAAGTGTCCTTCGCCTATTTGGGGGACAGTAAACATTTGGTGTATTTCCGTCAGTACCTGATTACATATACATGTAAACACAGGTAAGCCCTTATTTAAACGGAATTACTATATTATATTCCCTAAAAGACAATAACGATTTATTTCTTTCATGTGTAAAAATACATCATTGATGCTGTTGTTGGTCCTGAAGTGAGTTGGGTTCAACATCTTCAGAAAAATGTTCCCATAAGTATTAACTTTTGGGTGATACACTTTTGTTTTGAACATCACCTGAAAAAAATCAGTGTTATTAGTAATTGAAATCTTTATTGACTAAATCCTAAACCCTAAAAATACAGCAATTTTAGAGAGCAATCATATGCTTCATTCCTTACCCTAGGTGGCGCGAAAGGGTAGTCAAGCGGAAAGTGAATGTCTACTTTGAAAACACCATTCTCATAGGGTGAACCTTTAGGCCCCGTTATGATAGCTTCCCAGTGATACAAGTCCTCACCCACAGGTCCTAATGAAATCGGCAAACCACTAATTAGGTAGACGATGTAAAAGACCGACCCTGTAAAACTAAAACTTAACTAATGCCCTATTTTCAAATTAACCATCAAATACCTGTACTGAAACATGGACTGTTTTTCCTCACCACTTCCTTCAATTGCAATGAGATCACTTTCGCAGAGTACATGTTTAGAAAGTAAGTAACTTTTCCTGTTATTAACTTTTTCTGTCTCCGGAAACTTGTTTCACTGAAGAAGGCAGGGGACAGTTTTTATAGAGGACGACCGGAAAAACATTATAAAGTAAAGAAGGGAAACGAGTCGGTCAAACGGTGCAACAGGTTTCAAAAAAGGTACTTAACTAGTTTTTGTCGTTTCCAATTTGATTTTTTTGAACTCAGACACTGGTTTCATTATTGCGATTTTCAAAATTGTAATGACTTATTTTTTGAAAAAACCGTTTACTCGTGTTGTCCTGTCCTACAATTTCAATTCAAAGACACGATCATTGTCCGTTTCTATATAATGTTTTCTTTCTCTGCTATAGAACCATATCTTTGATAATTATTTTGATCCAGAACCATGTCTTTCATAAAGTTTTCTTTCTCTGCTATAGAACCATGTCTTTGATAATTATTTTGATCCAGATCCATGCCTGTGCTTATTATTTTGATTCCTTAATAAGATAAAGCCTAAAGCCTTCATCGTAAACCCTAAGCCCTAAACCCTAAACCCTAAACCCTAACCCATAACGTCCATAACATAAATTTATATGCTAAACCATATAAATGTAAACTTATACATAAGCCATAATGCAAATACACTATATGATGTAAACTGATTGATGTTGTCCACCATCACAGTGTACACAAACAGTGTCCACCGTCAAGGGTGTACACGCTAGAAACAAACCCGAAAAACATAGCAACATGTCCACCGTCTAAACCCTAAACCCTGACCAGTAAACATCATAAATTTCATAACAAATTAAACATAGTTCATGCCTTTCCAAGTTTAAATATAGGGAAACATAGTGTACGCTACAAACAAACCCAAAAAACAAAGCAACATCCCCACAAAAAACATCAAGAGACACACAAAAGCCACACCCGGTCAACCCAATGGTTCCTTGCATTTTGCCCGGTTATGGCCGGCATTTCCACATCTAGAGCATTTGTTTGGCTTCTTTTTTTTTGCAACCTGCAACAGCGTATATCAGTAATCATTAATCAGTAATCAGTATCACTAGGAAAAAAATATATGTTTAGTGTACACTAACCTGAGGATACTTTCCTGCTGAAAGTTTTCTCTTCGTCGTAGGCCTTCCTGATGGACGTTTTGCCTTAGGTGGCATAATATTAAGGTCACGCACCTCTGCTGGGATTCGAATGTCGTCAGGGTCGGGCACTGGTAGGATTTTGCCACAAACTGTTGCACTCCAAATTGATTTCTTAAGAATTGGATCAACCAAAATGCTGTACTCCACTTGGCGAAGCCTAGCCGCGGCCATTGCATGTCGGCAAGGGTATTTCAATGTCTGAAACTCTAGACATGAGCATGTTTTGTTTAGGAGATCAACAAGTCTTCGTACACCGAACTCAGAACTCACTTCAACCTCCCACAAAGAAATGCCTTGAACCGAAAGTGCAGCAGATTTTTGCTGCTGCAGGTTCATTAACTTGTCAACCTCTTCTGTAATGTCACCATCCATCTTTTGAATGGTCTCTCTTCTGCATTCAAGCCACCTACTTAACATTTGCCTGATAAATTCTAGCATTGCAACGATTGGACTGTCTCTTGGAGCTAATAGTGCATTGTTCAGAGACTCTGCAATGTTATTGGAGGTCATATTATACCTCTGACCAGAAAAGTGTGATCTAGTCCACAGCGCAAGAGGGATTTTTTCCATGTACTCCCAACAACCATAATCAACATCCTTCAGCCTTGCGTATAGTTTCTTGAAATTAGAAACTGTGAACGCTTCTCCAGCCTTTCCGACCAACCTTTTCTGACCGGAACCTTTGTATTTACCGTGAACATTTCTCTGGATATGGACAAGACATGCACCGTGGTGTGACTGTGGATACCATTTCTTTTTAGCTTTGGCAATTCCACCGTGCCTATCCGAGATAATAGTAAGATCAGAGGAATCTGGAATTATTTCTAACAACTTCTCAAAGAACCACCTCCACGTCTTGTCAGACTCTGCATCAACAACGGCGAACGCTATTGGAAATACCTGGTAATTAGCATCTTGTCCACTGGCCGTTAATAGACAACCCTTATACTTACCAGTGAGGTGAGTCCTATCAACAACAACTACTTGTTTCAAATGTTTCCATCCAGATATACACGCAGCCAATGCCATAAATACGGACTTAAACCTGGTAATACATTTTCCTTCTTTTTCATCTCTCTCGCTCTCGGTTATCAAATGCGTTATGGTGCCAGGGTTAGCATACTTGAGCACATGGAGGTAAATCGGTAATAATTTGAAAGAAGTCTCCTCTGTTCCGTGAGCAGAGTATATAGCCAGCTCCTTAGCTTTCCAGCATTTCCAGTACGAGGCTGTAATATTATATTCGGAGAGAACAATCGCAGGTAGCTGACTCGCACGTGGCCCAACTATTGCATTCTCATACTTAGACTTCAGCAGAGCCGCCATGACTTAAGAAGTAGCATGTTTTGAAAATTTCTTTCTTGTATCCGGGTGGCATGTATGCTTCAAACACGCCTTCCTCACCTCATACAATGCCGACTCGCCAACTTGACACCCCAACACTCTCCAATCACATATCTTTGATGGACATTCGGCGACTGTGTACTTCTTCGCATGCTTTTTGAATTCGAACGTCACTATATTCTTCAGCGCATTGATGGCCAACGTGATTTTAAAGTGTTCCTTGTTCCTGAACTTTTTCCCAACCCATATCTCTCCATCTTCATTTGACAAATCAAGTTCATCGAAATCCCCTCCCATTTCATCAGAGACTGGTGCCACATCCGGAAATCCATATAGTTCTGTACGTTTAATCGCTTTCTTCAGCTCTGCACCGCCATTCAGACGCCCCCAACTGACATCACCTGTCAGAGTCTGCACAAAATCATCATCATCTCCATGGGGAGCCAGAACATTCTCACATACAGTCTTCTTTCTTCCAGGAAAATGAATAGGACTCTCCGTTAAGACAATGGAGTTGTCCATATGGTTTGAATCACTCGGCTCACTTCCGCGAGTACTTCCACAACCGCCTGAACTACCAGAGTCATCCTTATCCTCATCAAATCCAGGTTTAGAATGGAAACCCATTCCATCTGCTAGTACGTAATCATTCCACCAGTCAAAATCATAATCCGGATTATAATCATCATCAAAGCCGTGTGCGTCATCGTCAACATCATCAGCTTCCTTCTCTTTCGAATCTCTCGCCTCGTCTGATTCCTGGGACATTTTTAATTCCAACTCAGGGTGGTCATCAGAGACAGCGTGACTTGGAACATCCGGTTTTACATTAACGGAGGTGTTAGTGCTGGCCTTAGCCTCTACTTTCTCTGATTCCTGGGACATTTTTAATCCCAATGGAGGATGGATAATAGAGACAGCTTCAAGTTGTACACCTTTGGAGGTGTTCATTGCGGCCTCTGCCTCTATTTTCTCGGCATGTGCTATCAGCAAACAATCATCGATATCTTCATCATCTGCTTCATCATCGGGTTGACTCGACTCTGCCGAAGAAGAGGCTATGAATTTTGTTGGCCCTAAGGACTTTCGCCGTTCCCTCGCAATTTGAACTTCAAGACTTTCCTTCCGTTTCAATCTCACCATTTTACCATTCACTGACTCCTTGAATGTGACAAATAAATTCACAGACTTGTCAGACTTATGCAGCGAAAGGAAGAATTTGTACTCTCGAGGAGTAACTATTACACATGGACAACTCCCATCACCATTAAGCTCAGCTAGAACATCATCAAACCAGTAGGAAATCTCCACCGAAACAACTCTCGTGTCTAATCCGAACTCATGCGCAATCAGATTTCTCAAATCATCTGGTCCGGACACATCTTTGCAATTTATGCACCTGCCACGATGAGATATGTCCATTTTGAAATCCCATTCTCCTGTATAGTACCTTATCCACGTTCCCGCCATAACAAGAATGAACGCATCCACTGCAATTCGCGAACACCATATCTATAAAACTACTAGCAAATGGCAAACACCAGACCAAAAAAAAATCGAAAATAACAATGACAAATCTATGGGTGTACAATAACAGGATTAAGTAACTAACCGTGGTTGTTGTCCTCTAGATCATCGCATAATTTCCCCTTCAATTTCAACATCTTCTGGAAAGGGAAACTAGGGTTTCTAATTTAGTTAGGGTACTTTGTTTCTTATTTTAACCAGTTTATCTCCATTATCCCTAATTAACCACAATTTTTGCCGCCAAAATTAAAAAGGGAATGGGAAGGGTAGTTTTTGTGTAATTACTTGGGTAGTTTCCGACCCATAACCGATGCCCAGTTAGGTGGTTTTTGGGAATTTCATTCCTAAATACGAAATCAGGCCCAAAAAACGACCCAAACACGCGCGTGAGTGCTCTCTTCCCGGCTGATACGCGCGCGGAGGTAGACTACACCTGGGACCCACGGTATTTTCTGCCTCTGTCTCTCTCTGAGGAACAGACTGCTCTGTCTCTCTCTCTCTCTCAAAAAGAAGGGTAAGTTTGCCATTATGAAAATATGTCCCTACCCCGACTAATTAAAACTTAAAACTTCCCTTTCCTCAAATTAAAACTTAAAAACGTCTTTATTTTCAAAACAACCCTATTTACCACCGCTAATTTACTTGAATATATATGTCATGTTTTGTTATAATTATAATCTAATAATTATGAAAATCAATAATAGAAAGAACCTCATCAGAATCATTACTAGGTGATAAAATGACATATAATTGTGATGATTATTAATATTTATTTTATTATGATAATAATTGTGATACTAGCTTTTTTAGAGGCTTAGACATAGAATTTTTTTTCTGAAGGAATATTTATTAGATTTTATTTCGTTTATTATATAAAGTACAATTTTTACTATATTTGATTAATATTACTAGTATAATTTTATTTTAATATTGTAAATAAGTGTTGTTCATATTAAAAAATGATATATACCAAAATTTTAACAAAAAATATTATACAATTTAACTATTATTCATAAACTCAAATATAAAAATATTATACGATTTCTTAAATATATAAAGCCCGCGCTTGGCAAAAATTGAAAATAAAAATGTGATGTTTATATTATAAGAATCTCGATAATCAAATTATAATAAGGTTTATATAATGATTGTGCCCGCGCGGCGCGGACAGATACCTAGTTTAATATTAAATATTTTAAATTTGAGTATGTATGAGTACATGCTGGCCCAAATAAAACAGAGGCCATAATCTATTGTAAAATAATTTGTCCTATTTCTTCAGAACAAAAAAAAAAAAAAAAACTCGATTGAGAAATTATGCAAAAACATTTTTGGACCCTAAACTATTACCTACTTTGCCTATGTATATGGAGGACTTTCTTGGATCATTTCTTGCATGTCGGGCAGTCGTAAATGCGTTGCATCTTGCCTGTATGTTTGTTTGGTGATTTTGATCCCTATTCTGGCGTATTGAGTTCTTTGAATTATGCATGCTTATTATAGTGGTGATCTGTGGATGAGAATCAACAAATACTAGGATAAGTGCATGATAAACATGAAAAGGGGACATATCAAGACTTGTATATCATAAATTGTCCAACCATTTCCTCGATAGCTCTTATTGTTTCTGATGTGTAGTATTTACTGAGATTATTCCCAAGGTTAATCATGACCGTTAGGAGGGTTAAGTAACCGTATGGAGGCGATTCAATCCATTTTTCTGTGTTTGCTATGAAGGTTGGGCATGGGCTCTAGTCTTCATGGACTCGGAGACAACCATAAGTTTATTATCTATGAGAAAACCATTCATCCCAAGTGGATTCGAATTACAGACCTCCTCTCTCAAAAAAACCATTAGACCAGGAGTCACTTGGTCACTGAACCTATTTTTTCATGGTCGTAAACCAATCTTGATATGTTTATACACCAACTCTCAGATTAACATCTATGTCTTCTTTAAGTTATAAATAAATTAAAAAGATTCATTTGAAAGTGCGATGACACATTATCATACAAACACCACATTCTTTATATGTTTAGTATAATACTATATATAAGATGAAGAGTCTCCCCATAATGCTCAAAAAATAATTTTCACTTGAACAAAATTTTGATTAAATGGCCGAGTCATTATTTTAAGAACTAGTGAATTTGCCTACGCATTGCATGGGCTGATATATATTTTTTTATTTGTTTGTTTGAAAATTTAATAGTAATTTGGATTCATTTGTTTTTTATTCTCTATAGTTGAGAGAATTAGAGAGAAGTCGTACATATTTATACTAAAATATTTAAAATCAAAAACTCTAATCTAGACATCACAATACCGTCATTCCATTAGATATTTCATTTATTGATTTTTATATTTTCGTTAGATTTGACTAAAAATCAGTTTTATTGGAGAAAAATGGTTGATATTTATACTAAATCATAAGAAATCGAACACCCTATAAACATAAGAAATTGTAAACACTAACCGATATATAATAATAATTAGCGAGTTTCTATTAGTTAGAGATTATTTCTTTTTTTTAACGACATTTCATTAGTTAGATATATAGATTTCTTTTTTAACTTTTTGTTAGATTTTGTTTTTTAATTTCAATTTTATAAAATTTTCGAAACGGTTTGATTTAACTGCAAAATTAAATATTAAATCATAATAATTTAGAGCGGTTAATTTTAAGTTATTTTTAACACATCATTACATAAGAACCAATAAAAAAATGACACGTAATAGCTAAATGGGGTAAAAATATTTTTTTTTGCAGTCGAAACTCATTTTAGCGATGACACATAAGTGAAACACCATAAAACTTTCTGTGAGCGCGACATATCAGCAAATCACTACACAGATAAGTATATAGATTATAAATGTGCTAAATAATAAAATCAATTCAATATACCTGGTTATTCTAAAAAAGAAAAAAAATACATGATTGAACATTTTCAAAAATAGAAAATTTTGACTTTTTATATATTTTTTATTTATTTTTCACGAGTAAACTGTAACAAATTATCCATAGTTAAATGATGTGAAAACGATTCTAAGGAAACTGCTAACTATGAAGGCAGGTTCCATGGCTAACAAGCCTAACATGACAAATGCCATGAGAGAGCACTAGGAAAAAACCAGGTTACTAAGACAGTGAAAAGCAGATCTTGAAATAAAAGAGAGTTTTCAAGATTTTAGAAAAAAGTACATGAACTGATTTCATCACTCTGAAATTTTGTTAAAAGCTTTTTCAGAAACAAGAGATCTGATATCACAAAGACAAAATATTGTTACATGAATGGATATGAAAATTTTCCTTTGCTAGATAGATTTTAGCCAATGATTGTATGCAACACCCCATAAAACATTGCAATGTGACTCAACACTTTTGAGATCCCTAGAAGTGACCCGTCAATATTCAAAAAAAAAATTGCTTAAAGAACATTGTCACTGTCAAAAC